CATCCCCCCCAAGCCCCACTGATGCCCCCATCCCTGTTTCCCCCCCCAAGCCGCACTGATGCCCCCATCCCTCATCCCCCCCAAACCCCACTGATCCCCCCATCCCTGCTGCCCCCATCCCTGCTGCCCCCCACCCAGCCCCACTGATACCCCCATCCCTCATCCCCCCCCAAGCCCCACTGATACCCCCATCCCTGCTCCCCCCAAGCCCCACTGATGCCCCCATCCCTGCTGCCCCCCACCCAGCCCCACTGATCCCCCCATCCCTGATCCCCCCCATGCCCCCATCCCTGTTTCCCCGCCCAAGCCCCACAGATCCCCCCATCCCTGCTGCCCCCCACCCAGCCCCACAGATCCCCCCATCCCTGCTGCCCCCCACCCAGCCCCACTGATCCCCCCATCCCTGCTGCCCCCCACCCAGCCCCACTGATCCCCCCATCCCTGCTGCCCCCCACCCAGCCCCACTGATCCCCCCCATCCCTGCTGTTCCCCCTTTACCCCAGGCCTGGATGGGCTCATGGAGCGCTGTGCCCAGTACAAGAAGGACGGCGCTGACTTCGCCAAGTGGCGCTGCGTGCTCAAGATCTCCGAGGGCACCCCGACCCCCTTGGCCATCATGGAGAACGCCAACGTCCTGGCACGCTACGCCAGCATCTGCCAGCAGGTAACGGCCCTCCCGCTCCGACCCATAGCGGTTGTGGGGTGGTGTGGGGATGGGGGGGTGTCGAAGGGATGCAGGGTCTGTGGGGATGGGGGGGTGTGAGGGATGCAGGGTCTGTGGGGATGGGGGCATGGGGACATGGAAGGGATGGACGATCCATAGGGACATGGAAGGGATGCAGGATCTATGGGGCTATGGAAGGGATGCAGGATCTATGGGGCTATGGAAGGGATGCAGGATCTATGGGGCTATGGAAGGGATGCAGGATCTATGGGGCTATGGAAGGGATGCAGGATCTATGGGGCTATGGAAGGGATGCAGGATCTATGGGGATGGGGACATGGGGACATGGAAGGGGTGCAGGATCTATGGGGACATGGAAGGGATGCACGATCCATAGGGACATGGAAGGGATACAGGATCTATGGGGCTATGGAAGGGATGCAGGATCTATGGGGATGGGGGCATGGGGACATGGAAGGGATGCAGGATCTATGGGGCCATGGAAGGGATGCAGGATCTATGGGGATGGGGACATGGGGACATGGAAGGGATGCAGGATCTATGGGGATGGGGACATGGAGGGGGACATGGGGCCATGGAAGGGATGCAGGATCTATGGGGCCATGGAAGGGATGCACGATCCATAGGGACATGGAAGGGATGCAGGATCTATGGGGATGGGGACATGGGGACATGGAAGGGATGCAGGATCTATGGGGATGGGGACATGGAGGGGGACATGGGGCCATGGAAGGGATGCAGGATCTATGGGGCCATGGAAGGGATGCACGATCCATAGGGACATGGAAGGGATGCAGGATCTATGGGGATGGGGGTGTCGAAGGGGTGCAGGATCTATGGGGATGGGGGCATGGAAGGGATGCAGGATCTATGGGGATGGGGGTGTCGAAGGGGTGCAGGATCTATGGGGATTGGGGTGTCTGAGGGGTGCAGGATCTATGGGGATGGGGGTGTCTGAGGGGTGCAGGATCTATGGGGATGGGGCATGGAGGGGGACATGGGGCCATGGAAGGGGTGCAGGACCCATGGGGCCATGGAAGGGGTGCGGGACCCATGGGCCCATGGACCACATGGAGGTTGCCATGGGGATGTGGGTACACATCCTGCTCCCCATAGAACGGCATCGTCCCCATCGTGGAGCCCGAGATCCTGCCCGATGGGAACCACGACCTCAAGCACTGCCAATACGTCACTGAGAAGGTGGGGGGCCGGCCCCTATGGGGGCACCCCATTGAGTCCCTTTGGGGGCGGGGGGGGTCCCTGTGTCCCCATTGAGGGGGTCCCTGTGTCCCCATTGTGTCCCATTTGGGGGGGTCCCTGTGTCCCCATTGAGGGGGTCCCTGTGTCCCCATTGTGTCCCTTTTGGGGGGGGTCCCTGTGTCCCCATTGTGTCCCTTTTGGGGGGGGTCCCTGTGTCCCCATTGAGGGGGTCCCTGTGCCCCCATTGAGTCCCTTTGGGGGGTCCCTGTGCCCCCATTGAGTCCCATTTGGGGGGGGGTCCCTGTGTCCCCATTGAGTCCCTTTGTGGGGGGTCCCTGTGTCCCCATTGAGTCCCATTTGTGGGGTCCCTGTGTTCCCATTGTGTCCCATTGGGGGGGTCCTTGTGTCCCCATTGAGTCCCTTTTGGGGGGGGGTCCCTGTGTCCCCATTGAGTCCCTTTGGGGGGGGGGTCCCTGTGTCCCCATTGAGTCCCTTTGGGGGGGGGGGTCCCTGTGTCCCTATTGTGTTCCTTTGGGGGGTCCCTGTGTCCCCATTGAGTCCCATTTGGGGGGGGGGGGTCCCTGTGTTCCCATTGAGTCCCATTTGGGGGGGTCCCTGTGCCCCCATTGTTTCCCTTTGGGGGGGTCCCTATCCCTGTCCCCTATCCATCCCCATTGAGTCCCTTTGGGGGGGGTCCCTGTGTCCCCATTGAGGGGGTCCCTGTGCCCCCATTGTGTCCCATTTGGGGGGGTCCCTGTGCCCCCATTGAGGGGGTCCCTGTGTCCCCATTGAGTCCCTTTGGGGGGGGGGTCCCTGTGCCCCCATTGTGTCCCTTTGGGGGGGGTCCCTGTGCCCCCATTGAGTCTCTCTGGGGGGGGAGTCCCTGTGTCCCCATTGAGGGGGTCCCTGTGTCCCCATTGAGTCCCATTGGGGGGGTCCCTAACCCTGTGTCCCCATTGGGGGAGGTTCCCTCACCCCATAACCCCTCATTGTGTCCCATTGGGGGGATCCCTAACCCTGTGTCCCCATTGGGGTGGGTTCCCTCACCCCATGTCCCCCCATTGTGTCCCATTTGGGGGGGTCCCTAACCCTGTGTCCCCACTGGGGGGGGGTCCCTCACCCCATAACCCCCCCCGCCCCATATCTCTGCCCCCCCCATAGGTGCTGGCCGCAGTGTACAAGGCTCTGAGCGACCACCACGTGTACCTGGAGGGGACCCTGCTCAAACCCAACATGGTGACCCCCGGCCACGCCTGCCCCACCAAATACAGCCCCGACGAGATCGCCATGGCCACCGTCACCGCGCTGCGCCGCACCGTGCCCCCCGCCGTGCCCGGTCCGTGCCCCACACGGCGCTGCAGCCCCACGGCCCCGTATCCCCATGGACCCATCCCCGTGGCCCTATATCCCCATGGACCCCGTCCCCGTGGCCCTATATCCATGGCCACATGGCCCCGTCCCCGTGGCCCTATATCCCCATGGACCCCGTCCCCGTGGCCCTATATCCATGGCCCCACGGCCCCGTATCCCCATGGACCCGTCCCCGTGGCCCTATATCCATGGCCCCACGGCCCCGTATCCCCATGGACCCGTCCCCGTGGCCCTATATCCATGGCCCCACGGCCCCGTATCCCCATGGACCCATCCCCATGGCCCCATATCCCCATGGCCCCATCCCCATGGCCCTATATCCATGGCCCTATATCCGTGTCCCCATGGCCCCATCCCCATGGCCCCATCCCCATGGCCCCATCCCCATGGCCCCATATCCCCATGGCCCCATGTCCCCATGGCCCTATATCCATGGCCCTATATCCATGTCCCCATCCCCGTGTCCCTATATCCATGTCCCCATGGCCCCGTCCCCACGGCCCTATATCCATGTCCCCATGGCCCCATCCCCATATCCCTATCTCCGTGTCCCCATCCCCATGTCCCTATATCCCTATGGCCGCGTCCCCATCCCCGTGTCCCTATATCCATGTCCCCATCCCCATGTCCCTATATCCCTATGGCCCTGTCCCCATCCCCGTGTCCCTATATCTGTGTCCCTATATCCATGTCCCCATCCCCTTGTCCCTATATCTGTGTCCCTATATCCGTGTCCCCATCCCTGTGTCCCTGTATCTGTGTCCCTATATCCATGTCCCCATCCCCGTGTCCCTATATCTGTGTCCCTATATCCATGTCCCCATCCCCCTGTCCCTATATCCCGATGGCCCTGTCCCCATGTCCCTATATCCGTGTCCCTATATCCATGTCCCCATCCCCATGTCCCTATATCCATGTTCCCATCCCCATGTCCCTATATCTGTGTCCCTATATCCATGTCCCTATCCCCATTTCTCTATATCCATGTCCCCATCCCCATGTCCCTATATCCGTGTCCCCATGTCCCCATCCCCATGCCCCCATATCCATGTCCCCATCCCCATGTCCCCATATCCATGTCCCCATGTCCCCATATCCATGTCCCCATGTCCCTATATCCATGTCCCCATGTCCCTGTATCCATGTCCCCATCCCCATGTCCCTGTATCCATGTCCCCATCCCCATGTCCCTATATCCATGTCCCTATATCTGTGTCCCTATATCCATGTCCCTATCCCCATTTCTCTATATCCATGTCCCCATCCCCATGTCCCTATATCCGTGTCCCCATGTCCCCATCCCCATGCCCCCATATCCATGTCCCCATCCCCATGTCCCCATATCCATGTCCCCATGTCCCCATATCCATGTCCCCATGTCCCTGTATCCATGTCCCCATCCCCATGTCCCTGTATCCATGTCCCCATCCCCATGTCCCTGTATCCATGTCCCCATCCCCATGTCCCTATATCCATGTCCCTATCCCCATGTCCCTATATCCATGTCCTCATGTCCCTATATCCATGTCCCCATCGCTATGTCCCTATATCCATGTCCCCATGTCCCTATATCCGTGTCCCCATCCCTATATTCATACCCCTATATGTATATCCCTGTCTCCTTGTCTCTCCCTATCCCTATATCCTCGTCCCCATTCCTGTATCCTTAGCGTTATATCCATAGCCCTATATGTCTCTATAGCCCTATATCCCTAGGGATCACGTTCCTGTCGGGGGGCCAGAGTGAGGAGGAGGCCTCCCTCAACCTGAACGCCATCAATATCCCTATACCCCCATAACCCCATATCTCCCTCTATCTCCCCATATGTCCCTCTATCTCCCCATATCTCCCTATATCTCCCCATATCCCTAGGGATCACGTTCCTGTCGGGGGGCCAGAGCGAGGAGGAGGCCTCCCTCAACCTGAACGCCATCAATATCCCTATACCCCCATAACCCCATATCTCCCCACATAACCCCATATCTCCCCATATCTCCCCCTATCTCCCCATATCCCTAGGGATCACGTTCCTGTCGGGGGGCCAGAGCGAGGAGGAGGCCTCCCTCAACCTGAACGCCATCAATATCCCTATACCCCCATAACCCCATATCTCCCTATATCTCCCCATATCTCCCCATATAACCCCATATCTCCCCATATCCCTAGGGATCACGTTCCTGTCGGGGGGCCAGAGCGAGGAGGAGGCCTCCCTCAACCTGAACGCCATCAACCGCTGCGCTCTGGCCCGGCCCTGGGCCCTCACCTTCTCCTATGGACGGGCCCTGCAGGCCTCGGCCCTCAAGGCCTGGGCGGGCAAGAAGGACAACACCAAGGCGGCCCAGGAGGAGTACGTCAAGAGGGCCCTGGTACGTGCCACGGTGTGGGGCGGGGGGGTTAACGTGGGGTATTCGCGTGTTAGCATGTGTTATTCCGTGTTATTCCCATGTTATTCGGTGTTATTTCCGTGTTGTTCCCTGTTATTCTGTGTTATTCCCATGTTATTCTGTGTTATTCCATGTTAGTCCATGTTATCCCCATGTTATTCCCTGTTCTTCTGTGTTATCCCCATGTTATTCCCTGTTATTCTGTGTTATTCCCATGTTATTCTGTGTTATTCCATGTTAGTCCATGTTATCCCTATGTTATTCCCTGTTCTTCTGTGTTATCCCCATGTTATTCCCTGTTATTCTGTGTTATTCCCATGTTATTCTGTGTTATTCCATGTTAGTCCATGTTATCCCTATGTTATTCCCTGTTCTTCTGTGTTATCCCCATGTTATTCTGTGTTATTCCTGTGTTATTCTGTGCTATTCCATGTTAGTCCATGTTATCCCCATGTTATTCCCTGTTCTTCTGTGTTATCCCCATGTTATTCCCTGTTATTCCGTGTTATCCCCATGTTATTCCCTGTTATTCTGTGTTATTCCCGTTATTCTCTGTCATTCTGTGTTATCCCCATGTTATTCCCTGTTATTCTGTGTTATCCCCATGTTATTCTGTGTTATTCCCATGTTATTCCATGTTATTCCATGTTATTCCCTGTTATTCTGTGTTACTCCCATGTTATCCCATGTTCTTCCCGGTTATTCTGTGTTATTCCCTGTTATCCCCATGTTATTCCATGTTATTCCCTCTTATTCTGTGTTATTCACATGTTATTCCCTGTTATCCCCATGTTATTCTTTGTTATTCCATGTTATTCCCAGTTATTCTGTGTTATTCTGTGTTATCCCCATGTTATTCCCTCTTATTCCGTGTTATTCCCATGTTATTCTGTGTTATTCCGTGTTAGTCCATGTTATCCCCATGTTATTCCTTCTTATTCTGTGTTATTCCCATGTTATCCCCATGTTATTCCCTGTTATTCCCATGTTATTCTGTGTTATTCCCATGTTATTCCCTCTTATTCTATGTTATTCCCATGTTATTCCCTGTTATCCCCGTGTTATTCCCTGTTATTCTGTGTTATTCCCATGTTATTCTGTGATATTCCATGTTATCCCCATGTTATTCCCTCTTATTCTCTGTTATTCCTTGTTATTCCATGTTTATCCCCATGTTATTTCCTCTTATCCTGTGTTATTCCCATGTTATTGTGTTATTCCATATTATCCTGTTATCCCAAGTTACATCCCAAGTTACATCCCAAGTTACATCCCAAGTTACATCCCAAGTTACATCCCATGTTACATCCCATGTTATATCCCAAGTTACATCCCAAGTTACATCCCATGTTATATCCCAAGTTACATCCCATGTTACATCCCATGTTGCATCCCATGTTGCATCCCATGTTGCATCCCATGTTATACCCCATGTTGCATCCCATGTTGCATCCCATGTTGCATCCCATGTTGCATCCCATGTTGCATCCCATGTTGCATCCCATGTTGCATCCCATGTTGCATCCCATGTTGCATCCCATGTTGCATCCCATGTTGCATCCCATGTTGCATCCCATGTTGCATCCCATGTATGTTATCCCATGTTATCCCATGTTATCCCATGTTATCCCATGTTACATCCCATGTTACATCCCATGTATGTTATCCCATGTTATCCCATGTATGTTATCCCATGTTATCCCATGTTATCCCATGTTACATCCCATGTTACATCCCATGTATGTTATCCCATGTTATCCCATGTTACATCCCATGTTACATCCCATGTTATCCCCATGTTATCCCATGTTATCCCATGTATGTTATCCCATGTTACATCCCATGTTATCCCATGTTATCCCATGTATGTTATCCCATGTTACATCCCATGTTACATCCCATGTTACATCCCATGTATGTTATCCCATGTATGTTATCCCATGTATGTTATCCCATCCCATGTATGTTATCCCATGTATGTTATCCCATGTTACATCCCATGTATGTTATCCCATGTATGTTATCCCATCCCATGTATGTTATCCCATGTATGTTATCCCATGTTACATCCCATGTATGTTATCCCATGTTATCCCATGTTATCCCATGTATGTTATCCCATGTTATCCCATGTTATCCCATGTATGTTATCCCATGTTATCCCATGTCATTCCAGGCTAACTCCCAGGCCTGCCGCGGCCTCTACACCCCCTCGGGCACCGCGGGCGCCGCCGCCAGCGAGTCCCTCTTCATCTCCAACCACGCCTACTGAGCGATGACGTCATCACGCACGGACACGCCCCCTGACTGCGCGTAGCCACGCCCCCCCTCCCAACCGTAACCCCGCCCCCTTCCCCCTTAAGCCCCGCCCCCCCCCCCTCCAGCCCCTGGAGCCAATGAGGCGTGAGAATAAAGTGGATGCGGATGGAGCGGGACCCATAGGGGGCAATGGGGGGCGATGGGACCCATAGAGGACAATGGGACCCATAGGGGGCAATGGGGGCCATGGGGGGTGATGGGACCCATAGAGGACAATGGGACCCATAGGGGGCAATGGGGGCCATAGGGGGGCGATGGGACCCGTAGAGGACAATGGGACCCATAGGGGGCAATGGGGGGTGATGGGACCCATAGAGGACAGTGGGACCCATAGGGGGCAATGGGGGCCATAGGGGGTGATGGGACCCATAGGGGGCAATGGGGGCCATAGGGGGTGATGGGACCCATAGAGGACAATGGGACCCATAGGGGGCAATGGGGGCCATGGGGGGTGATGGGACCCATAGGGAGTGAATGGGACCCATGGGGGGCAAGGGGACCCATAGGGGCAAGGGGACCCATAGGGGGGCAGTGGGAACCATAGGGGGGCAATGGACCCATAGGGAGTCAATGGGACCCATAGGGGGGCATTGGGACCCATAGAGGACAACGGGACCCATAGAGGACAACGGGACCCATAGGGAGTGAATGGGACCCATGAGGGGCAATGGGACCCATAGCAGATAATGGGACTTGTAGGGGGGAATGGGACCCATAAAGGGACATTGGGTCCCATAGGGGGGCAGTGGGACCCATAGGGAGTGAATGGGACTCACAGGGGGGCATTGGGACCCATAGGGGACAATGGGACCCATAGGGAGTGATTGGGACCCATAGGAGGCAGTGGGGCCCATAGAGGACAATGGGACCTATAGGGAGTGAATGGGACCCGTAGGGGGACAATGGGACCCATAGAGCCCAATGGGACCCATAGGGGGCATTGGGACCCATAGAGGACAATGGGATCCATAGAGAGTGAATGGGACCCATAGGGGGCAATGGGGCCCGTAGGGGAGCAGTGGGACCCATAGCGAATAATGGGACTTATGGGGGGAATGGGACCCATAAAGGGACATTGGTACCCATAGGGGGGCATTGGGACCCATAGGGGTGGAATAGGACCCATAGGGGGTGCAGTGGGATTCATAGGGGAGCAATGGGACCCATAGGGGACAATGGGAACTGTAGGGGTGCAGTGGGACCCATAGGGGTGCAGTGGGACCCATAGGGGGTGCAGTGGGACCCATAGGGGACAGTGGGAACCATGGGGGTGCAGTGGGATCCATAGGGGCAACGGGAACCATGGGGGTGCAATGGGACCCATAGGGGAGCAATGGGACCCATAGGGGTGCAGTGGGACTCATAGGGGACAATGGGACCCATAGGGGGCAATGGGACTCTTAGGGGGGCAATGCTAGCTATAGGGGGTGCATTGGGACCCATAAGGGTGTATTGGGACCTATAGGGGGGACATTGGGACCCATAGGGGCTGTGTTGGGTCCCATAGGGGGTGCAGTGGGACCCATAGGGGTCCATTGGGACCTATAGGGGGGACATTGGGACCCATAGGGTGCCTTGGGACCTATAAGGGGTGCATTGGGTCCCATAGGGGGACATTGGGACCCATAGAGAGTGGAATTGGACCTATAGGGGCAATGGGACCCATAGTGGTGCAATGGGGCCCATAGGGGGCAGTGGGACCCATAGGGGGGCACTGGGACCCATAGGGGGGCAATGGAATCCATAGGGGACAATGGGACCCATAGTGGGGCAATGGGACCCATGGGGGGACAGTGGGACCCATAGGGGTGCAATGGGACCCATAGGGGTGCAATGGGACCCATAGGGAGCATTGGGACCCATAGTGGACAATGGGACCCATAGGGGTGCAATGGGACCCATAGGGAGCATTGGGACCCATAGTGGACAATGGGACCCATAGGGGGGCAATGGGACCCATAGGGGGGACATTGGGACCCATAGTGGGCATTGGGACCCATAGGGATCAATGGGACCCATAGGGATCAATGGGACCCATAGCGATCAATGGGACCCATAGGGGAGCGATGGGACCCATAGCGGACAATGGGAACCATAGGGGACAATGGGACCCATAGGGATCAATGGGACCCATAGGGATCAATGGGACCCATAGGGGAGCGATGGGACCCATAGCGGACAATGGGAACCATAGGGGTACAGTGGGACCCATAGGGGATCAATGGGACCCATAGCGATCAATGGGACCCATAGAGATCCATGGGACCCATAGGGATCAATGGGACCCATAGAGATCAATGGGACCCATAGAGATCAATGGGACCCATAGCGATCAATGGGACCCATAGAGATCCATGGGACCCATAGAGATCAATGGGACCCATAGCGATCCATGGGACCCATAGGGATCAATGGGACCCATAGAGATCAATGGGACCCATAGCGATCAATGGGACCCATAGAGATCCATGGGACCCATAGAGATCAATGGGACCCATAGAGATCAATAGGACCCATAGAGATCAATGGGACCCATAGCGATCCATGGGACCCATAGCGATCCATGGGACCCATAATGATCCATGGGACCCATAGAGATCAATGGGACCCATAGGGATCAATGGGACCCATAGCGATCAATGGGACCCATAGGGGATCAATGGGACCCATAGGGATCAATGGGACCCATAGAGATCAATGGGACCCATAGCGATCCATGGGACCCATAGAGAGCCAATGACTGCGCCCGCAATAGCTGCTGGCCCCGCCTCCTGCCTGACGTCACTTCCTGCCGCCGGTCCACCACTCACTTCCGCTTCCGGTAGGGGCCGGCCCGGAAGTGACGCGCGGCGGCCGCGGCGCCGGAGGTCGCTGCCGGTGGGGCCCTATGGGGTCTGTGGGGCGGTGGGGGGCGGCTATGGGGGTTCTATGGGGGTTCTATGGGGGTCTATGGGGTGTCTATGGGGTGTCTATGGGGGTCTATGGGGTGTCTATGGGGTGTCTATGGGGTGTCTATGGGGGTCTATGGGGGTCTATGGGGGTCTATGGGGGTCTATGGGGTGTCTATGGGGGTCTATGGGGGGTCTATGGGGTGTCTATGGGGGTCTATGGGGTGTCTATGGGTGTCTATGGGGCTATGGGGGGGTCTATGGGGTGTCTATGGGGGTCTATGGGGGTCTATGGGGGGGGGGTCTATGGGGGTCTATGGGGTGTCTATGGGGGTATGGGGGGTCTATGGGGTGTCTATGGGGGTCTGTGGGGGTCTATGAGGTGTCTATGGGGGTTCTATGGGGGTCTATGGGGTGTCTATGGGGCTATGGGGGGTCTATGGGGTGTCTATGGGGGTCTATGGGGGTCTATGGGGGTCTATGGGGGTTCTATGGGGGTCTATGGGGTGTCTATGGGGCTATGGCGGGTCTATGGAGTGTCTATGGGGGTCTATGGGGTCTTTATGGGGCTATGGGGGGTCTATGGGGTGTCTATGGGGTGTCTATGGGGGTCTATGGGGTGTCTATGGGGTGTCTGTGGGGGTCTATGGGGTCTTTATGGGGCTATGGGGGATCTATGGGGTGTCTATGGGGGGTCTATGGGGTGTCTATGGAGTGTCTATGGGGCTATGGGGGTTCTATGGGGTGTCTATGGGGCTATGGGGTGGCTATGGGGGGGTCTATGGGGGGATATGGGTGTCTATGGGGTGTCTGTGGGGGTCTGTGGGGGTCTATGGGGTGTCTATGGGGCTATGGGGGGTCTGTGGGGTGTCTATGGGGCTATGGGGTGGCTATGGGGGGGTCTATGGGGGGATATGGGGGTCTATGGGGGTTCTATGGGGTGTCTATGGGGCTATGGGGGGTCTATGGGGTGTGTATGGGGCTATGGGTGGCTATGGGGGGGTCTATGGGGGGATATGGGGGTTTATTAGGGTGTCTTTGGGGTGTCTATGGGGCTATGGGGTTCTGTGGGGTGTCTATGGGGCTATGGGGGGTCTATGGGGTGACTATGGGGGTTCTATGGGGTGTCTATGGGGCTATGGGGGGGTCTATGGGGTGCCTATGGTGGTCTGTGGGGAGATATGGGGGGTCTATGGGGCTATGGGGGTTCTATGGGGGGATATGTGGGGGATATGGGGGTCTATGGGGGGTCTATGGGGCTATGTGGTGGCTATGGGGGTCTATGGGGTGACTATGGGAGGATATGGGGGGGCTGTGGGGGATATGGGGGGTCTATGGGGGGATATGGGGGGTCTATGGGGTGGTATGGGGGGTCTATGGGGGATATGGGGGGTGTATGGTGTGGCTATGGGGGGCTATGGGGGTTCCATGGGGTGGCTATGGGGGTCTATGGGGCTGCTGTGGGGTGCTATGGGGGTTCTATGGGGCTGCTGTGGGGTGCTATGGGGGTTCTATGGGGCTGCTGTGGGGTGCTATGGGGGTTCTATGGGGCTGCTGTGGGGTGCTATGGGGCTCTATGGGGAGCTATGGTTGCATATGGGGGCTCTATGGGGCGTCTATGGGGGTTTATTAATGAGTGTTCATTAACAACTGTTAATAAGGACTAATTGAAGGGCTCAATTAATGAGCGTTAATTAGTGCGTGTTAATGAGTGTTAATTACTGTTAATTAGCATGCTAATGAGTTTATTAGTGAGTGTTAGGGTTAGTAAGCTTGTGTGAGCGTTAGTAAGCTTGTTAATGGGTGTTAGTTGATGAGTGGTAATTAATGAGTGTTAATTCATGTGTGGTAATGAGTGTTGATTAATGAGTGGTAATTAATCATGTTAATTAGCATTAATGAGTCTTAATGTTCATTAATGAGCGTTAATTAGCGTGTGTTAATGAGTTTTAATTAATGATGTTAATGAGCATTAAGTAATTGGCTTTGTTAATGTTAATTGATTTTGTTTAATTAGTGTGTTTTAATGAGAGTTAATTAGCGTGTATTAATGAGTCTTAAGGAGCGTTAATGAGTTTATTAATTAGCGTGAGTTAATGGGTTAATACTCAGTGTTCATT